TGTCTTCCCTTGCTGTCTTTTTTGCTTCTTTCTGTTCCCTTCCTTCCTCACTCCTGCTCGTTTATTCATTGATCAAATCATTCGTTTATTTATCCACATTTATGGGGCCAAGCACTATGTTGGACATTGGGTACACAGCTGCTATCATGAAAGATAAGGTCTCTCTGATTTCTTGAAGTTTACTTTCCATAAAACTAAAGAAGATGCCCAGGGACTGACCTAGGATGAAGATGGAGGTTTACTTTAGACAGCCTGGTCAGTTCCATTCCTCACCAAGAGGTGATATTTGAGCTGAAACTTGAAGACTAAAATGAGCCAGCCACTGAAACAGTCATGGGTAAAATATTACACAGAGAGGCAGCAGCAACAGCAAAGGTCCTAGGGCAGGAAAAGATTTGCTGAGTATCAGGAACAAGGGAGGCACTGGTATGATTACAGATTAAAACATCCCTTTGAATTACCAGTATAATTATTAACACTATTTAGTGAAAGCTAATCAGTACCAAAGGAGCTCGGGTAGCGTAGTGCCTAAAGCACTTGACTGCTAACCTGAAAGCTGGCGGTTCAAACCCACCAGCCACTCCTCGGAAGGAAGGTTGGGCAATCTACTTCCGTAGTGTTACTGCCTGGGAAACCCAAGGAGGGGTCACTATGGGTCAGGTCCGACTTGACGGCAAAACAACAACAACAACAATCAGTACCAAAACTGTATTGGGTACTTTTCACCTATGTTCTTATTTCATATCCACAAAAATTCCCCATAGCTGGATATTATTAATTTCATTCACTTAATGTCAAAGAAACAGACCCAAAGACATTAAAGTGTATTGAAGCACATATTGTGATCAAACGGTGGGGCTTGACCCATTTGACTCAAAGGAGTCTACACTGACTCTTAAAACAAATTAAAGGCCACACAAATATATACACATATATCCTTTAACAACTCTGCAAAATGGAACTAATGGAAATACCATATGGCAGTGCAGTTTTATGAGCAAACAGACAATAAATGCCTTTTTTATTATAATCATGGCTAGCATGTGTGTGTGTGTGTGAGAGTGTGTGCTGGGGCCTGGGAAATACACTGGAAAACTGTTCAGAGCCTTTTTCTCAAAATCACACAGGTCAAGACTGCATTCCAGACTCTCACTTTTAACCTATGTCAGGTGCCTGGGTAACAAAGCACATCCTACATCCCAATACAAGTTAATGTTCAAGTGAAAACTGTTATCTGTACACATTTTTGTATTTATTTCACTATACAATAAAAATGATTATAATTTTTTGCCATATGTTTTTCTTAAGTCAGTTGCTACTCCTTTCTACTTCTTCTGGGTTCGATATCAGGGCAACTGAAGTACACACAATCAACACCACTGGGGAAATAGTGGAAAGGAAAATAGAAAGCAGAGATCTAATTTTAGTTTGTTATACTGTGTAGCTAAATGGCAAATCCATTGTGCTAGTTCCCGCAATTCTGTTGGATCTGGGCTGCAGGGGTTTAGATCTATCCCTGAGTCCACAAATGGTCTTTCCCTCCCATTCTATTTCATTTGTGACACGTTTATTAGTTCTTTATAACAATGAAATGAGAACCAGAGACATCAGTTATAACCAGAATACAGTAATGGTACAGACTCTCTTGTAGGTAATAATACTGTTGTATTTCATTAACAAACTAACAAGGCTTCACACTTTACAAAGTAAACATGAAAGTAACAAATTAAATTGACATAGTGAGTGTAATGCAGAGATACTCTGGAAAAGGAGTGCACTTCAGAACCAATTTTTCAAACAAAATAATCACTGATTAGGATGAAAAGACAAAGATACAGGAGAGGCTGATTACTCATTTTCTCAGTGCATTTTAGGTTTATCACTTTTTACACAATTTAAAATTTATGGAAAGCTTTTCAGTGTTGTCTTTAATTTTGCTAGAATATTCTCAACTTGGTTTAAAACTGAAATGGAAGAAGCTGAGGAGGGCTTTCATAACAACTTTCTTCACTCTGTTTATTTAAAACATGATGAATAAGCAAAAAGAAAAGGTGCAGAAGGGAAAAAGAAAAATGATCCCTTCTTCCTAGAAGTGTTCGAGATTTCTGGACTGTACATAATCTTGCACCAGGAATTAAAATCTTCCCCAAGTACCACTAGCCAAATATTTAAGATATATTCACTGTCCCACTGCCATGTGTGTATAAACTTGAAGCCTATGGGTTCATAAGTAGTTTCAAAGTTATTGTAAGGGAGTAAGAAGTTGCACTATTGTTAAGTCTCCAGTATTGCCTGTCTTATTTAATGTATTTCCTAAAAATCATGTAGTTCCTTAGAGTCTTTTTTTTTTTTTTGAGGAGATAAAACCAAACTCAAACCAATCTCACTGCCATTGAGCCAATTCCGAAACATGGTAACCCCCGTTGGGTTTCTGAGGCTGTAAATCTTTATGGAAGTAGGTTGTCCCACCTTTCTTCCCCTGAGTGGCTGGTGGATTTGAACTGCTGACCATGCGGTTAGCAGCCAAATGCCTTATCCACAAAGCTACCAGAGCTCCTTTATGAGGAGATTTGTTGTTGTTGTTATGTGCCGTCAAGTCAGCCCTGACTCATAGCGACCCCTCCTTGGGTTTCCGAGGCAGTATCACTACAGAAGTAGGACTGCCCAACCTTACTCCCGAGGAGATAGGGGTTAGTATTTTACTTAATGAGTAATGCACTTGCTGATACATCATTTTCATAGAAAAGAAAATGGAAGACATTAAAATATATATATATACACATATATATATGTTTTGAGGCCAAGAAACACACTCCTCCCCCAACAAAAGTATAGGAATCCTATTTTCCTTAAGCTCATGAGGTATTTAAGTACAGTGGTAAGAAAACTAAACCAAAAAACCCCAAACCTATTGCCATCGAGTTGATTCTACCTCACAGTGATTCTGTAGGACAGAGTAGAGCTGCCCTGTAGAGTTTCCAAGGCCATAAATACTTACAGAAGCAGATTGCCTCATCTTTCTCCCACAGACGCTGGTGGGTTGATACCACTGACCTTTTGCTTACCAGCTGAATGCTTTAACCACCATACCACCAGAGCTCCTTTAAAGAAAGGAGGCAGATGTGAATTCAAGTACCTGCCACTTACTAAGCAAGCTATGAGCCTGAGCGCCTTTATATGTAAAATGAGATTTGTAGTGTCTGCCTTAGAGAGTTGTTGTAAGGAATAAATGCTGTTATATATTTAGAGGTCTTAGCACAGTGTGAGACACTATAAATTGCTCAGAAGACATTAATAACATTAAGTCAAAGGGTGCCTTTCTCTTTCCTTCTCCTCTGATGCACAGATCCTCACCCCCTTTTGGAGCTCATCTAGCACAATCAGGACAGGAGTTAACACATGCTAAATATGTATTTGTTAATAGCTTGAAAGATCACATTAGTGAATTTTCAAGATCCCAGGCTGGGGAAATCCTCCATAGTGTTTCTTTATATTGTGGATAATCATACAGATCTAGAAAGTGGGGTGACAGAGTCCTAAAAGTAAAAACTATAGTTTCTTTCAATAACAGCTTATTAATATTTAGAACCCCAGAGGTTTACTTTATGAGTCAATGAAAATTTGTTTCAGCTAGACATTCATTACCGCTGAACACTTGTTTCCAAAACTGTTACACACTTCAATCATTACTCAGAATACAGCTCTTCGTAGCTGACACTGTTATCAGGAAATGGAAGCAAAAAATGGAAAAAATACGGTTATTTGCCTAAAGTTTGGGAAATATTTAGGGTTTTAACCTGAGAAAAATAAGGAGATACACATCTTGGACAGTGGTCTTTAAATGATCACTTAAACTCTGAAACCCAAATGAAACGTCCCCAAAGTCTAAGGTGACAGCTGACTTTGGAAAAATGGCAAAAAAACACCCAATCTCAACACTGAAACATCATATGTGCTGGGATAGTTTTTCATTTTCCACAGGAAGACATGAGCTACTATATATATCAGACTCGATACCCATGGAGTTGAGTTTGGACTTCCACAATGGCACCACGGGACTATTTCTGGAAGAGATGCTTGTCATGATGTCAACTAAAAAGAGACTGGGGTATGAAGATACATAAAATAATTTCCCCCCATTTTGCAACACCTATAAAACAACCTATTTCTTTTTCACTATCAATTTTTTAGTAAATTTTCCACAACAAGATGAAAATTTGGGACTTGGAGAGCTCACACTGGAAAGACAATGCATTTTAAAAATACTTCCCAACAGTAAGTGGCATCTGTTTTCTTAGAAGCTTAACAAGACTCAAGGAGATTACTGAGTCCTGGAGACTTGTGCTTTTATCCTGCTTCATAACCGAACAACCATGTTTTTGTCTTTCTTTTACTCTCAAAAGAAAATGACCCAGTCAATCAACTCCCCTATCTTCAGACACAAGAATACTTCACTCTCAGGACATTCTATTTTCAAGTTTTATTCTGTCATAAATTTGGAACTAAAATTAAGTTGCAAATTTTAGGTAAAGCAGGGTGATAAAATTTAATGGTCACTAAAATTTCAAGTGGAATTCATTTCACTGAGCATGGTTCTTTACTCTCCTGAGTCCTTTTGACATGGTAAATTGAAGTGTGCAAATCTAATTGGCTGAGACCCTGCTTGACCCTAACACAGACTGTTAATGTCTTATCTCTATTGAGATCTCATACTGAATTTCAGGCTTGATAACACTTTTCACCTTTTGAGAAAATAGAGATTTTATTGATTCATTAAGTCACCTAGCCCTGAATTGTCACATTGTAGCCCAATCCTCCTTCTGTATCCCACAATCACCTATGCTTTGTTTTGTTGATGTCATTGTTTAGAACATCTCTGTCACATATCAGAAGAAGAGCTGGAGAGACACAGTGATTTGCCGAAGGTCTGAAGAATGGAACTAGGGAAGAATAAGTAGGTGTAAAGTACATTTTGGTTTCCAGAATTAAAGAAGTTGCATTATAGTCCCATGAGTCATCCTAGGGATGAACAGGATACTGCGTTACTTTATAGTTTAATAAAGCCTTGAATAATCAATGCCAATTTATTAATTTATTTAAATTGGTACTTCTAAAAATATACTATTTCCCAAGTAAATGAGAATTCCTGGGGAAATTTAAGAACTGCTTCAACCAACCCTTCAATTTGTTCAGAAATCCAGGGTTGAAGCAGAATATCCCAATTCACTCTCACTTCCCCTCCTAAAGTAACCCAGGCCTCTCACCTGTCTCATCCCTGCATTTCTACCTACAATTTCTAAGCAAACCACACTGTGCTTTGAAAGGACAGGTTATTGGCATTCTACACTTTGGCAGAAATGATAGACAGGTAAAACACTGACATTGACTGTCCAGTTGATCTTTCGCTAGCCCAGCTTATCTCTGGTTGTTTGTCTGAAGAACTGGCCATTGATTGGGATCTCAAAGATGTTAATGTACTACTGTGTTGTCAGCCTCTGCCAGGGCAATTTATTTGCCCATGTCAGTCAAATTCTTGCCCAGTTAATCTCCAACAATGTGCTTGCCAACTCTACACTGGCATTTTTCTCTAAATTATATTAGTATTTAAGGAACCCACATGGTGCAACAGTTAGGCACTCAGCTGCCGTCAGAACCCACTGCATCTGTGGGACAAAAGACATGACAATCTGTTCCCCTAAAGATTACAGATTAGGAAATGCTATGGGGCAATTCTACTCTGTCCTGTAGGGTTGCTATGAGCTAGAATAGACTCAACAACACACAACAACAGCAACAACAAATACTAATACTTATTAGGATTGTTCCAAATGAATAAAAAATATCAGTCATTCTGGTTTTTTTTTTTTTTTTTTCCTTATCCCTCCCTAGGAAAATGCTGCCATAGGGACTCTACCATAAGTAGCTTAAATAAAGCAGTGGTTGGGGAAGATTATCTTCTCCTTAGCCAACATATTAAGGAGCTCTGGTGGTGTCCTGGATAAGGCATTTGGCTGCTAACCAGGTCAGCGGTTCAAATTCACCAGTTGCTCCATGGAAGGAAGATGAGGCAATCTACTTCTGTAAAGATTTATAGTCTCAGATGACAAATAGGAAAAATTATGTTCAAAATCATCTTGTTTTTTTTTTTTTTCTGATCTCAAATAATGATAAAAAGAGAGAAGACCGTATACTAGCACAAGAGCAGGGGCATATGACTTTTTGGTGATTTCCACAGGAGAGCTTTGAAGCTCTTCATGACTAAGCACAATATTCATTCTTTTGATAAACTTTGTATTCTGGGGTCCACAAAGCACCCTGGGGAAAACAGGTAGTCGATCAAAGGTGGACCAGGTAGTTTGGCATTTAAAGAAATAAAAACAAAATCTGGCAACAGCAACTACCACCATCAGGTTATCACAAGCAAGGTGTCAGAGGCACTGAGTACTTTTCAACTAAACTGAGGAAAAATGGATATCCTTCTGTGTCTATTTTAAATGCTTCAGCTGATCTTGATGTGATAAAGGTAGGGATTTGCTTGTTTCAAGGTACATCAACCCCATATGCAAAGAGAACTCTGATATTGTACCACACATTCATAGTCAAAAACAAAACAATTTTTTTTTTTAAGAACTACGCACAGTTTAACTACAGATGAATGTCACACACACAAAAAAATGAGCCAGGCAATGATAAGCTCCAATGAAAACTTGGTAATTACAAGCTGCATTGTAAAAATCATGGTAAATACATTTGTCTCCACTGTTTGTGAGTTCTCAGAAGACTGAAAACACTCCCTTCCCCACTGCCTCTCTCCTTTTGCTATTTCATCCTTTTCCTTTCCCACTGATTCCTACCATTCAGGCCAAATTACTCACTCACTGACCTTTTGTTTCACTACTGCATTTAAAGGGGGAGGGAAATTAGAGCAGGAGGAAGACAAGGAAGGTGAGTGAATGTGTGCATGTGTATATGTGTGCACACGCACACACAGGAGTGACAGAACTTGGCAATATCCCTTCCCCTCCAAAAAATCGGGGCTGGTTGTTGTTTTATGATGAATGGATGTTGAAGAGACCCAGCAGTAGGTCCTACAGGAGCAAGAGACAACACAGGACAGCATTCACTTGTTAATTTAATCAACACATGTGTTTTTTGAGTTGTTGTTGTTAGGTGCCATTGAGTCATTTCCGACTCATAGCGTCCCCATGCACAGCAGAACGAAACACTGCCTGATCCTGCGCCAGCTCCATAATCCCTGCTATACTTGAGCCCATCATCGCAGCCACAGTGTCAATCAATCTCATTGAAGGTCTCCCCTTCTTTCGTTGACCCTCCACCCTACTAAGCATGACATCCTTCTCCAGGGAATGATGGTTCCTTCTGACAACATGATCAAAACAGGTGAGACGATGTCTGGTCATTCTTGCTTCCAAGGAGCATTTCGGCTGCACTTCCTCCAGGACAGATCTGTTAGTTCTTTTAGCAGTCCATGGTACTTTCAACACTCTTCGCCA